GGAACTCGGGGATACCTGGAAATGTTTTCTCCCAAACAGAATCCATGTCCACTTTTGTGAAAAAGAATTTATGAAATTATTTTTAACCACCTGAAACCACAACTAAGCTTACTTTTAAGTTTCACGTGAAGGGTATTCAAAGGCAGGGAATCAGCTACTTCTAGGTAATTAAGAGATGAAAACATGAATGTCATAACCCAACAAATACTCTATCAGCATGCAAAGGGTGCTAAAGAAAGCAATGACAATTTTAATAAACCCATACAATTGATATTAACATTATTTTAAAAACCCCCACAATTAATAATGCTTCAAGAATCAAAGCTTATATAAAATTTAATATTTATGCATATTATATGTATTTATAAAATGTAATATTTCTGCACTTGCAGAAGGTTTGGGGGAATTTTCTGTGTATATATCTGGTGCTCTTGACCATCCCTGGGCACTTCTTTTCCACCTATAAAAAGTTCCTTAAGGAGAGTTGTATCAACAGGGCTGCTCATATTCATTAGGGTTATACCCAGTCCGAATTTTGGGTACAATTCAGTGTTGTCACTTCAGTCTGTTCTGGTGACATCCATCATTAACAGTTTTGAAGGGACGAGTCTGCCACGTTTCTGTTCTGATAAGAACATTTTGGGAATGAATGAAATAATTTGGAAAACATCAGCAATAGCTGTCTGACTATATGGCTGCTTAACAATTCTACACTGAAATCCAGCCTCCTAAAATAAAGATGGACCCGTGGGATTTGTTCATTGATTCCCTTTTATTGTTATTTTTGTAAAAGTTAAATGGTATCACCATGATTTAACGTTGGGGTTTTTTAATTATATACTTTTTTTTTTGGATTATTTGTTTTTTAAAGTCCTCCTTCAAAGGAAAAGGCACCTTGTTCCCCTAACTCGAGTCAAATAGAATTGACACCTCAGAGAAAAAAAAAGACAGAAATCCATAAAACGACAGTAAGCTAAAATGCAATGTAATTTCAGCATGACAATTTTATACAGCAAACCCAGCTTTGAGGTGATGGTACTCAGTAGGAAATAATCATGATAATCAAGTAAAACATTGGTGCATCTACCAGAATCATGGTATGTATATCTTTATTACAGTTCTCAGAATACATGGATTAACAATGGCCAGGCTGTGATTTCATCAAATTCCTATTTTAAACATTACATACAAACACAGAGCTGTTTAAAAAATAGAAATGCATGAGTTTTGTCACCTTTTTTTTTTTTATTTTTTTTTTTTAAACTTTTTTTTTTTTTTTTTTTGGCATCAGGAGTCCTATGACTTCCAAAAGGGAAATCAAACGGTGCATGATAGCAGACTGAACAGGTTATTGTTCACATTCTGTGGCATATGTATCACCTCAAACAGTGCTAAAAGCACTCCAAGAACAAATCCTTGTCCTGGCCCCCTCTCCCAGTGCCATCAGTGGGTGCTTGCAGCACTGCAGGATGCACAGGCTCCCTCCCTGGAGCACAAAAGCAGCACTGTGACACCTGCAGACACCTGAAGCTGAGGCTTTTGGCTGCATCTGCTTGGAATTCTTCATTTTTTATTTAAAAAAAAAAAAAAAACGATTTTTTATTTTTATTTACATTTCGTGTGCATGCGTGGGCGTGTGTGTGGAGACACCGCAGAAGAGGAGGTTTCTCACAAATACTTATTTTTAAAAAATGAGTTTTCAACTTGCAAATACAGTATGGCACATCAGAGGTGGGCTGGGCATTGCTCAGCATTTGTCCTGCCCCACCTTGCAGCACTTGGAAGGCAAACAGCAAAGTAGAACTCAGCCAAGCCTTTGCTGGATGGGAAAAAAAAAAAAAAAAAAAAAAAAAAGCAATTTACACACGAGAGGGAAAGTTTGAAATATTTACTAGCTGGAGATCTTTCTCAGGGCAGGAGGGACTAAAGTCACCCACCAAAGCAGGGTTTGCCTGAGGGATGCAAAAGCTGCAAAGTTTCCTTGACAAAAGCTATAGGAGGATTTCCAGAGCCAAACCTCAAACTCAGCCAGATTCTCAGAGTTTGGGGTGGTGTGGGATGAATTTGAAGGAGGTCACTAATGAATTGTGGCTTGGATAGAAACCATGAGAATATGATCGTTTTTTACAGCATTTGTCTGAGGTAGTACATATACCACACACAAAAATGCAAAAATATACAGATATTCGTGAGTATTTGCATATTACAGAAGGGAACTATGGGAACGCTCTTGTATCTCAGTTCTCAGGAAGAACAGATCATTTCACATCACTCATATTGACCAGAGTTCACCTAAAACCAGAATAAATTGACAATATTCCTGGGAGCAACCCCTGGAGCTGTTCGTGCTCTCAGAGCACTGATTCTCTTCTGGTTTTAGCCAAATAATTTGATTAACACAAAATCTGCTGTGCTGGGACAGGATCCCTGCTGAATCCCACACAGACATACAGGACAGAATTTGTTTTCTCAGCAAACTGCACAAAAGTGGAGCAAAAGGAGCCCAGTGCATTTCTGACCTGCCAGCCAGGAGCCCAGCCACAGAAATGTGTATTTGTGTACGACTGAAACTTCTCATTCCCATGACATTTGGAGCTTTGATTCATTTTACAAAGGTAAAAATTATCTTCCTCTTAAATAAACTAAGAAATGTAAACAGTGTAACATCATTAAAAAAAAAAAAAAACAACCAAACAAAAAAAACCCCAAAAAAACTCTCTCAGTTCTTGTAACTGGTAAAATGTGAATGCAAACAGATGTGCTGGTATATTGTCAACGTCATGTCTCAGAGGACAGAGAGTGAAACATAATTAGCAAGAAATTTATGTATGAACCCTCCAGTGATTTTCTTTCCGGGATTACTTTGAATACAAATATAATTTAACTGATATATTTCATTTCTTTTTTTTTAAAATTAGAAAATAAGGCAAGTGCATTTCTGAAAAAGGTGCTACTCTTCTACACTTCTAGATAAACATGTGACACCTCTGAAAATTAGAGCAATAATAAAAACATTAAAAATATCTGCAATTTAATATAGACTGAAAAACTATCAAAAGACAAAGTGACCAGCATCAATTTCAGAAAATATTTTAGACTTCATAAATACGAGCACCCTATATTTACATAAATTATCTTCTAAACTAGTTTTCCTTTGAAAGACACTTTTGTTCTAACAGATATGTCCATTAAATTATATAAATGTTTCAAATATGAAAAAAATAGTAGTAAAATAGAAGCATCAGATGATGTTGTTATTTCGGATTTGCCTTTTTTTTTTCTTTTTCCCTAAGATTTGGTTCTTGAAAATCTGTAGCCAGCTTTCACAGAGCTTTCAAAAAAAAAAAATATATATATATATAACCCATGGAAATGAAAAACTTGTGCACTAATAATTACTGCTATGGTATAAAGATTCTGTGGAGAGCTTTTGAGTTTTCACATATAAAGATTATACCAATACTTGTAAATCCCAGCAAAATGCTAGTTTCAAAATCTGAATTCTAAGACACTATTGATTTATATAGACATTATGAACCTAATCCTTTAAACTGGCTTTGTACATTAAGCACATTTTTTTTTTTTTTTTTAAGAACTGGAAATTTAATAGTTCCATTTAAAGAGGCAGTGCTTCAACACGAGGCTGATGTTGACCTTGCACAAACAGGACAGAATTCTTTTTAGCTCTTACTGGTAAACAAGGAGACAAAATCCTGTTGCATGCTTATTATTTTTTTTTTTTCCTTTTTTTTTTCCTGAAGTACCATACAACTCTTCAGTGTGTTACTAAAACCCCCAAAGTTTAGGGAGAATATTTAGTTGACAGCAAGCATTTCACTAGATTTCAGTGGTATTCCTATGTTTAGAGCTATGGGCAAACCCCCTGTATTCTTTGAAGACAAGTTTTTAAAAAAACAAAAAAATTAAAAAAAAATTCAATACTAGATTGAAAAGGAGCTGTATCTTTTCTTACAATAGTTTGTAATTGTGAGAACTGATCCCAAACCAGCCCCACAGTTTTAAGAGGATCTCACCAGAGAAGCAAAAAGAATGTACTGTACAAAGATGCTTGGCTCAAGCAGTAGTGCAAAGATCCACTGGCCCAGGAGCAAAGTGCCCCCAGAACGAGCAGTTTGTGCACAGACACCACGGGACACCTCACCTTCCAAACAGCCTTTACAGACACCAAAAAAAAAAAAAAAACCAAACAAAACCCCAAATTCCCCATAACACCAGGCAATAAAAGCATCCATAATCATTTCATCCATCAGTGATAAGCATTAATAAACTGAGAACAAGTGCCAGAGCATCCTGATTCTTTAAAAACATCATAGCTCAGCCACTTGGGCAGTAGCTCCACTGGGATTCCACTTCAAATCCTCCATCCCAGCCAGGTGAGCAGTGGGTGCTCACCTGAGGAACTGCAGTGCCTGCAATGGGAGGAGCAGCCCCCAAAAAAAAAAAAAAATCAGACTTGGGCACTGCCAGGCAGGAAATGTGTTGGTAGCTGCAAAAAATCTCAGCATTAAAATCCACCAGTGGAGAGCCCACCACGTGTTTTACCTGAGAAACAGAGAAAAAAACTCAGAGGCAGCTCTGGAGAACTTCATCGTGTAGCTTGTCCCTAAAAACCTACACACAGGTATTTTAGCATCAGCAAAATAGGACAATCATACTTTCCCCCAAATACCTTTATAAAGAATATATAAGTGCACAATTAGAAAAATCCCTCCTTAGATACAGTTAAAAACATATTCTGCCCTTGATATCATTTTGGAAAAATTCTATGCTCTGTTTTATTTAAAATTTTTTTTTTTTTCTTTTCAGCAGTGATAAGTAACTACACATCATCATATCACCAAAAGTGTAGATATGTGGTGTATCCTACTGGCAGCTGAAACAGCTGAATCCACCAGGCTTTACACTGAGATAAGGTTTTCAGCAACCTGACTGGGGCTGTGTGTTGCTTTTTTATGCTTACAAAAAAGATTCTGATAATGTAGACCAGCTCATCTCTGAATTTATTAACATACAATTTTATTATTTTTCCTTTCATGTTCAAATCAGGACTGCAAATGGAATCCACAGCTGTACTCTTTCAACAAAACTGTATTTTCTTACCCATATAAAACATAACCTAGAAATCCCCAACTCCTTTCATGTGAGTTGCCAGCTTAAACAAAAGGGGTGGAAAAAAAAAAAGAAGGAACATAAGAAAATAAGATTATATACCCTACTGTTTAACACTGTTTACAGATCTTGGTAGTTGGGGAAATAAGATACAGTATGTGGATGTTTTTAGCAACAGCTTTAAAATGACATATTTTTACACCATCTCATTTATTCAATACCAGCATTCCTTTATGATCATTGCCAATTTGGATGAGAAACTCTTCCCAAAGCACATCCATTTCATTGTAAATAAAACAATTCATTAATTCTTTGGCATCAGAAGAATCATACAGCTGCAATTGCTCCGTTGTGTCGAGAACGAGACCTTTCCAAAGTTACTCGTTTGTTATCTGCAACAAAAAGAGAGAAAAAAAAAAAAAAACAACAAATCACCACGAGATTTGAAACACGGATAATGCAATGTCAAGAGGTTTTCAAACAGCCCTGAAAATCATTCTGAATGATATGTAAATAAGTAAGTAGGAGACTGGATCAGAGAAGTTTCACACTGCAGCTGCCAGACTGAGTTCAAGAGTTCTGCAATCAGCAATAAATTACTTTCTTGATCAGAGAAGCTGGGTGATAAAAGCATTAGGAGCATCCTGAAACACAGTCCCCTTGGAAACAGCACATAATAAACGAAATTCTGGGTAAAAATCCTTCCAATTTTAGAAATAATTTATGCACAGAACCTCTGGAAAAATACATTTCAAGAATGCACTGACCAGTGCAGTGGTGAAAACCTGCTGGATGCTCCAAATCTGAAGCCCAAACACCTCTCACTAGAATCTGGTACAGAGCTAAAAATAGAACAGTTAAATCAGCCACTTCCCAAGCATTTCCTGACTGTGCAACGTGAACAACTTTTAGTATAAAATATTACACAGTAATTATTGCAATAAATAATAAATACACCTCTATCACAGGAAAACAATCACCAAGTAGCAGCCACACTCCTAAATGCCTTTACAATAAAATTTTAAAGGGAAGAATGCACACACAGACACAAAAAAAGGGGCAGAAGATTAACCCCCACTTGGTGTCTTTCTTTTTGACAATGAGGTCTTGACATGCAAATTTTTTGTTTGTTTCTTTTGAGGTTTTTTGTTTGTTTTTTTTTCTTTTGGTGGCTGTTTCTTTTTGCCCTTTTCCCTCATGTCCCGTTCAGTGCTGCTCTGCATCACTCCTGTCCCTACATTGCTGCAGCACCAGGATGTCCCAAAAGAGAGCTGGGACTTTTACACAGGGCTGGAATATCATCAAGTTGATGCCTGTTGGGGCTACCTAAACACAGAGGCCAGGCAGAATTAAGGGAATAAAAAGTAGTTATATTTATTGAAGGGTCCTCAGGGACATTTGGGCCAGACAAAACCCCTCCAGGGGCTACACCAAAAAATGGGTCGTGGGTTTTTACTCTTTTATCAGTTTGGTCCATTTGCATGTTGGGGATTAATGTCCCAATTACAGCTTCAGGTAATGAAGTCATTTACCCCCAGTTTGCTCCCCATAACTCCCTTTTGTTTCCATTAATTGGGGCCTGAGGCAGTGAGGTGTCCTTGATTGCCAGCCTGGAGAGGAATTGTTGTGTGTGCCCAAAATGGGAGAGCAGCAGCTCACACTGGGTGTGGAGTTTAGAGTGAGACACTAAACAACTGCAGGATTACAAATAGATGGAAAATAGAAAAGCTGAAATGCCAAGGCACCAGAGTCCCTTCAGAAGCAAAACTTCTGCCAGGCACAGTGCAGGCACTCCTGGCTGCTCCCAAACACTGAGCCCAGCCCAGCCCGTGCCCCTGGCAGTGCCATGCTGAGAGCTGGGCACTGCCCCGGAGGCCACAGCACACCCGGGGGCACAGACACGAGTGAGAGATGGATTTTGGCTGAATCTGAGTGCCAGGGGAAATGCTGGAGCAGGGAGGGAGCTGGGATGCAGCAGTGGCTGTGGATGCCTGCAGGGATGGTGCCAAAATGAACAGGCACAACCCAGGACATGAGTGAGCATCAGGAAACTCCTGAGCCCGAGGGACACTGGGCACTGCCCCAGGAGGTGCTGGAGCCTCCATCCCCACAGGTATTCCATTC